ACATATCTCAGAAAAGCAGGCATAGCTTTCTGGCTTAGCATTGTACACCTTAGTGAAAGTACTAAGAGAAAATAATATTCAGTTCTACAATATTGCTAACTTATCATGCCATAGTTTATGTCAAAGAATGGATACATAGATTTCAATACAACCAAGCAGTATATTTATTTTGATGGTTTGGAACTGAATTTACTGTAGCATGAGGCAAGATTTTTAACAAGTCTTCCTGTTTGAAAGTTTTTTAAACAAGAGCCTTGAGTTCATGGTTCCAAGTATTTCATCTTTTATTGTGTCTACACTTATTGCTCTAGACCCTGAAGTCTAGTATACATTTTTTTTCTCTAGCAACTGGTAAAACAGAAATACATTTGCAATTCTGATTGGAGAATAATGCATGATATAAATGTGTGGCATGCTAGAATGAGACAGAATAGAAGAAGAAAAGATGGCAAGAAAGGGACATTTTGGGGGGGAAATGACCAAATATAAAGCAGAGAGATTTTCCCTCACCCTCAACTCACCTGATTTCATATCTATTAAGATTTTCAAAATCTTCTGAAACTAATTTGTACACTTTGGGAAACCGATGTGTACACATGCATACTGTTTTCCTAGTTTTCAGAATTCATAGACTAGAAGGCATGTTTCTAGATATGACTCTATAGCATACAAAAATTGTTAGCTGATAATCCTTAGTCATTAAAAACCCATGACTGCATGGGATGCAGAATAGTATGTGGTCTATTGTTTACCCCTTTTCCGATTTTATCACAATAAAAAAGCAGTAGGAAATACTATCATACGTTTTTCTCTCCCCACACATATGTACATACATACACCCAAAAATATCTCTCTCTCTCTTTGTGTATATGTGTCTATACATTTTGTACAGAATATCAGCTTTCAGAATATTTCAGATTTAACTTTAAATTAGTTTGGCAATAAGCATTATTCTTGGTTGCTAGAACTAGCCACTGTGTTTTATAATGGATAATATTTTAATATCTTACAGGCTTTTCGGGAGGACCTGGAAACTCTTATACAAGAGCAGATGAAGAAAGGAAATAACCCAACTGGACTGCTTGCCCTACAGCAGATTGCAGACTACATAATGGCAAGTTCTTTTGCAGGATTTTCTTCATCACCTCTAAGTAAGTAAATGTGGTACAGTAAAGTAAATGGCTAAAAGGACTGATTTTCTAATTTTAGAGAACTTCTATCAAATCGTTCCCTGTCCCTGCAGTAATTTATGGATAATATACAGCCCATATGATCTTGGTAAAATCATTACAAATTTCCTTTGGCCCTTTGCAATTTAGTTTCTTATAAATATATAGAGATATATGATGTTGGACAGATCAGTGTTCTATATGTAACAAACGTCCCTAACGCTCCTGTTTTATTTCTTTACTATATTAGTTAAAATTTGAAGTAATTGTTTTTCTTCCATGTTGATAAACTTTTTTATTGTAATGAATCATTGTTAACTGTGATGAAAATATTAATAACATTCAAAAGAAAAAAGTGACATTATGTTGTAGAGTTGAGATTCAAAGGATGTTTCAAAGCACTTTCTGACTTCAAAGATGCTTTTTTTTTTTTTTTGCAAAGTCAGAAAATTAGCATTATTCAGACAATACTGAGCAGTCTAAACTGCAGTTGGAAAGATACTGAAAGTTAAACTATAGTAGTTTCTGTGTAATCATATGATGCTATATGCTTTTTGGAAGAAAGTTTTCTCAGTAATTTTTTATCAATATTATTTTAGGCTCTGGACTGATTACACCTATTAATGATCTACCTGGGATAGATACCACTACATTTGGTAAAGGAGAAAAACTTATTCGTTGTAAATTAGCCAGCTTGTATAGGCTTACAGACTTATTTGGATGGGCACACTTGGCCAATTCATATATCACAGTGAGTATCCTGAAGTTAACATGTTCAGTCATTTCTATATTGAAATGTATTTCCAAAGTTCTCACCTTTATGAACTGTATTTTTTCTTTGAGATTAAACATACAATGCTGTAATATTTTCCTCTTCACTTCTAGGTAAGAGTAAGCAAAGAACAAGATCATATTCTTATCATTCCAAAAGGCCTATCATTTTCTGAAGCGTCTGCTTCCAATTTGGTACGTACTTGACCAAATGGATAGTTGTATAATGATTTTAATTCTATTCAGGTTTTTCCATTTTTAAAAACCTTCTGCCATCAATAGCCATGTAAATCCTTGATAGAAATCTACTTACAAATTCTTTCCCTCTTTCCTGCCTGATGTGCTCTAAAGCCTACGCCTTGGCTATTGGCAGTGACAGCTGAAATGTATTAAAAGGAGCTTTCCTGTATTGTTTCCCTAATCTGTCTTTTCAGGTAAAGGTAAATATCATAGGAGATGTGGTTGAGCAGGGAAGTACCAATCTGCGAATTGATAGTGCAGGATTCAGTCCTCATGCAGCCATTTACTCTATGCGCCCTGATGTCCGATGTGTGATCCACATACACACTCCAGCAACAGCAGCAGTAAGTTTCTTGCCAGTCTAGCAGGATGATGATGATGATGATGATGATGATGATGATGACGACGACTCACCATTCATCAAAACTTACTTAATTATGTTCAGGCCTGGATTGGCTTGCA